CTTTTATTTGATTCCCTTATAGTTATTCTACATTGCACTAAATTTTATAAAGAAAATTTAAAATTAATCTTCTATTTCAAATTTCAAAGTTCTTTTAAAAAAATCCTGACGCCACACAGTGGTTGGAGAAACCATGTTTTACGCGAAAAGGGCATATTTAACACTGTGATAAATTAACCGGAATAAAGCTATCCTTATTCAGAAATGTCCAAAGAACTCAAAACTGATTAGTACTTTCAATAATATCTGTTGAGAAAGCCGTTGAATCCACTTAATTCAACGGATTCTATAATGGCACGTTCTAACAGTTATGAGTTGATAAATGTCTTAACAATTTTTATATGGAAACTTCAATTTTAACAGTAATTGCTGCTTTGGTCTTACTTCTTAAACATGGAAAATAATGGTTTCATATGAAATATGTAATACATAATAAATTTCGGTTGCTAAATTATCAACACCTTAATAACACGGCTTATTTTTCAATAAATATTTTCTTCAAAAAGGTTTAACCAATTTGTAGGGCCGAGTAGGATCTTCATTCCTTTAGCAAAAACCAATGCAAAGGCCTCTTTAAGGATCTATGAAAAGTGGCGGCCATTTTTATTTCCAAATAACATAAAGTGTATTAAAATATTAAAAATTAAAGTAATTTATTTTATATTTAGCATCATATCATTTATAAGATGTGTCTTAACAAAGCTGAAGTAAGTTTTCAAAAATCCAATAACGAATCTAATATGGCTTCCAAGAATTAAAAAATTACTGAATTTTCATGAAATTTGGTGTTTAGAGGTTCTTAAGTTCGCTCATTACAAATTTTAAACTAGTTTTCGAAAATTCAAAATGCAAATCCAACATGGCGTCCGAAATTTCTAAAAATTCATACCTGAAGAACTTTATTTAAAAATGAGAAAACTGAAGTTTTGGAAATGACGAGTTTCGGAAAAAATAAAAAAAATCTTTAAAAAAAACTGTTGGGGCCTAGATCAAACTGTTTGGACTGTGCTATAGCAGGCGGTCCTAACTATCCCTAATTTAGAAATATAATTACTGTCTCTATTTGATAATTTGATCACAAATTCATTTTAGATTTGCTTAACAAACATTTTGTATTACTCAATTGAAAATGACAGTTGACTTGACAGTTGTCAACCGAAAAAGTTTGAATGTGATACATAACTAGAGATCAGTGAGCCTTGAAACATAGTACGTTTAATTCGTGGGAAATTGTCCTTATTTATAAAGAAATTGACAGCCCCTTCGACAATTCTTAAGGTTTTAATTTGATACGCAATTCGTGATTAGCATGTCTAAAAACCTATTCAGTGGCATTTTGATAAAGATAAAGATTTTTAGAAAAATTCATAGTTCATTCGACAGCTGTCAACTGTCAGAGTTTTAATTTCACACACAATTCGTGATCAGCATGTCTAAAAATTTAACCAGTGGCATTTTATAAAATATTGTCTTATTTTTAGAAAAAATCACAGTCCATTTGACAGCTGTCAACTTTCAGAATTTTAATTTAACAGCAAATTCATGATCAGCATGCCTAAAAACCTAATCAGTGGCATTTTAAAAAATATTGTCTTATTTTTAGAAACATTCACAGTCCATTTGACAGCTGTCAATTGTCAAGGTTTTAATTTGACATGAAATTCGTGATCAGCATGTCAAAAACGTAATCAGCGGTATTTTCAAAAAGATTTTCTTGATTTTAGAGGAATCGGCAGTTGATTTGACAGCTCTCAACTGTCAAACTGTAAATTTTATGGCATATTCGGATTTAGCATTACAACAATCCTAGGATCCCGCAGTTTTATTATAATCGCTTTCCAATTTTTTGCGTAAAACATGGCTTCTCCGACCACTGTGCGCCAGGGAGAAAAACTAAAGCGACGTTTTATTACTTTGGTCCCTAGTTTCGCGAATGTATATATTGTTTTTTTTTTATACCCGAGCGCACTTGTGCACAACTCGAGCAAAAATTGAGATATGTCAACGAAATTTGGTAAGTCAGCTGCCCTTTATCGAAGGTGGGTTGGGATTGAAAATGGGTAAAATCGGCCAATAACCACGCCCACCTCCCATATAACGGGTTTTTCGAAATATGCAAAAACTAAGATATTTCCGCAAATACATGATCCAAATTGTTGAAACTTGGTATTTGGAGTAGAATTTTGGCGTAAAAGAAGAAACCCGTTGAAATTTTTTTAAATCAGACAAGAACCACGCCCACTTCCCATATAACGGTAAATTACAGATATTCGAAAACTGCGATAAATTAGTAACTATTTAAGCTAATTTACTCAAAATCGATATATGCAATGACCTCTTAGCATAAACTGTGGGCGTGGCACCGCCCACTTACGCCTACAAAGGTGTATCTCGGTATCCGATTTATCAATTTCTACCAAAATCGGCACATTTAGCAACCTTGGCGCGAAAAAGTAATATATTGAAAATTTTTTAAATCGGACTTAAATTACTGCCACTTACCATATAACGGTAAATTTCAGAAATACGAAAACTCCGATCTTTCAATAACTAAAGATGCCAACATACAACAATCTTTTAATAAGACACAAGATTATTGATTTTTGTTAAATGGGCGTGGCACCATCCACTTATGACTACATAAGTATATATCGATAACTAAATTATTTCAATATATCATAGCATATTATTAAAACTGTTTTACATCGAGATAAATACTCTTCCTTATCATGCAGTTTACTAAAAGGTGAAAAAACGATATTTAATACGTGCGCCGGGTATATAAAGTTCGGTTTCATTCGAACTTATACTTCACTTGTTTGTGTGTAAATCTAACCTACGCACGATTCATATTGTTCATTAACTTCCATAAGTAATCCAAAATAATAAAAAATCGAGTTACATACATACATTTCAATAGGCACATTATTTTTCTTCAAGAACCAGCCCCATGTATGTGTATATTTACTTGTAGTCATCAGAGATGCTTTGTTTTAGAGGCATTTTGAAGAATGCTTGATTTTAAAGAAAAGTGAATAAAATGAAGAATTTGACTAGGCTACCCTAGTTTTTATGCGGCTTTTAATCAAACCATACGAAAAATGTGCATATTTTTTGAATAACTTGAATAGGCCTTAACATAACATATTAATTTCACTATTTAATACTATTGGTATTGGTTAGTACCTAACTCCTGGAATTATTGGAATAAACCTTGTTGGGGTGACTGTTCTTGATGAGGTCGCTTGAATAATTCAAGGATAGCTCTCTTTTATCCACGAAAGGAAAAACTGTTAACCATAAAATCGATTGTCTGACTCATAGACTTAGCAAACCAAGCAACTTACAAAATTTTAAATACCTCTAGGTCCGTTAAACGGAGTACCCGGTGCAATATATATCTTTGAAATTAGAAATTTTGATTCAGTTACTCCGAAACACTAAATCACTCTACCGGGCTAACGGTCCCTTTGATTAAGAAACTTCAATCAAAAATATTGTCTTTTACTTGTGCATAACTATGGACGCACTATTTAGGCGCGCGTATCAAGTTTGTTAAGCAAGCTGATTTATAGACAACGATTAATTATTAACATCTCCTTAGTTTAATTGATAATGTAACTCGACAGGTAAGGAACAGACATCCGAAAGGTTAAAGTTTAGCATTTCGCAATGATAACATCGAAATTCGCGAAATAATTCGAAGTTGGACGCAATTGGCCAAAGTAGTGCAAAGGTTATCGAACAAAAGCGGTAAATCTGCCATGGACGTAGAATTTTTTAAATTTCAACTAACTCATTGAAAACTGTATTACAGAAATCAGAAAGAATTACACACAGCCTACTCCACCGAACAATAAATCGAGCTCTGAACGAATCTTAAGACATTTGTGAAAAAAAATAACTGAAAAACGTTTAAACATTATTACCCCTGGATAAGGAGCCCCGAGTGCGGCAGATACGAAGATATGCCTGTACTGCCTACAAAATTCCTCAGTGTCTACAATTTTATAAGTTCCATTATGATTTTTTTGTAATGTCATGATTTATAGGATGCTGCAGTGGTAGATTAAATTTTGAGAGAAATGGACGCAAAACGTGAGCTTGTGCTAGAACGCCATTTAGCGGGTGACCAAACTAGTGCAATCGTAAAATCATTCTTCAAAATGGGAGTAAGGGGAAGATTCTCCGACGGCTACGAGAAAAAATATATATTTGGTTCTTGAAATTAAATAACAAAGTGCTACAAAAGAGAATGAAATAAAAATATTTGGGAAGTGATGTTTCTCGCAGGGCTTGTCGAGTAAACAAGAATTGTAATACAGGCTTTTAGTGCGTGAAGTTACGCAAAATCGGGTTTTCAACCGTGAGTCAAGATTTTGGAGTGCTTGGCAAGTGTCATATTTCGATTCTCGTTTTATTCGACAAGACCTATTAGAAAAATAACATCACTTTTCAGGTATATTGGAGTTCGCACAGTACGTCTCAACAACTAACCATCAAATCGTGCATATTCTTCTGACTGGAAATAGGGATATTAAATAATTAGGTAATGTTACTAAATCGAATAATAGAGTTACAGTTTAAAGCATAGAAAATATGAAAAGAAAGTGGAGATTTTCGAAAATGAATTGGTAAATAACATTAACATTTGATGCATGTAAAAGGCGTTGGCATTATATTTCCATCTACCTACATAAAATTCTTTTGAATAATAGCTCGCAATCTGTCATAAACCAAAAAGCAAGAAAACCCTCACCAAGCATAATCGTTTGCAACTACTCATATGGTGTACAGAAAACTTTCAAAGTTGCGAATTTTAACGAGACGATAATTTCATTAAAAATTTTGTATGGTTGTCAACTTGCTTAGTTAATGCTTAAATTGCTTTGTTTCTGTGTAATTCGAAAGGTTTACTTATGCAACTCATTAAAGATCCCGTATATGTACTATTATTTATCAAATGATTAATATTTTTACTATTTCCAAAAAATTTTTAGGGTAAATTCAGTTCCTGTACAGATGGATCAAAAATGACTAGAGAAGACTGCTTGTAAGTAACCAAACCAAAAATGTTTCTCTCAACACGTGATTTGGTTATAGTTCCACGATTTGCTTACAGTTACCAAATCCTCTGTTGAGAGAAATATATTAAACAGACTTTTTTCTAACTGCATGTATTTATATCCGTTATATTCTGTTGCGAAGTTCCAACCATTTTTCTTACCATAAAACTAAAAGTTAAAAGGATAACTCAAAAATATTTGTAGTCAAATATCTACTGGGGAATCTGCGCTCCAAAATTTTTGCCCGAATTAAACTGTAAAAGTAAGTACATATCGCTGGCTTAGAGTGAAAAGTTGCTAAGTCACAATTTAAAAATTTTACAGTAGAAGAAAAAACTTCTTATAGCCATTTTCTTTAAGTATTTCGTAAAACTTTGAATACAACATTTTGCCTGTTTAAAGCAAAGCTAAACTCCATACGAATCAGGGGGTTCGATCTTTATCAAAAGATTTCGTACTATTTTGGCCTTGTCGAATTTTCGGAGCTTCTATTGGACTTAGTCAAATATCCTTTCATTGAATATTAGCGAGAAAACAAAAAACAAGGACTGTCATCATTTCGAAACGATACATTTTTAATTTCTCTAGCCTCCTGTATCAAAATATGAGTTTTCATAAGAAGTGGACTTAGCATCTTTTCACTCTAAGCTAGCGATATGTTTCACGTGGACTTCGAGGCATTGCAGAATACATTCCAAATAACTTTTTATACATGAGGCCCAATGTCTTATATGAACTCGCGTTCTACTATGCACTATCAAGAACACCTAAAAGAAGGGAAATTGTACACGACACTCTATAGCAAAGTTATTTAGAACACATTACCACTAAAAGTGATTCCAGATTTTTTTCTGGGCAGAAGAAGATAGGGATTTGTTTATTGACTTTTCATGTATTTTTTATAGTTTGCTCGCACCTCAGTTAAAAAGAGTTTGCCAAACCCCCAGTTGCGGCTAGTTATTATTATTGACTCCCTGTTATATGCATGGAGTCAGAACGTCGATAACGATGTTTAACCGGGGATTTAGTGTTACCCAGAGATGCCCTTAGTGAGTAATATCGATGTTTCAATTAGAGATGGGCGCGTGAGTAATTTTGGCTCACGTTCACGCACGCTCACGTTGATGGTTTTGTAAATCATGCACACACACGTCCTGCTATATTTTTTCAATCACGTTCACGCACGCTCAAGACGCCTATTTTTTCAATCACGCACGCTCACGAACGGTTTCTCAAGGACATTTTTTTGTAAATTGAAACTTTATTTATATAAATAGCATTTCATATAAATAGGCTTTTATCACACAAGTATTATTACATGAGCGAGTATAAATTTGTATACATTTTGTTTATACAAATTTATACACTTTGCTTATAGTTATGTGGTATATCTTTCTAGGCTCCGTATTTTGCATATAAAAACTCACTCTAATTATTACAAAAGCTTGGCCAAACGCTTAACAAGGGCTGAAGGCACTATTATTATTTTAACAAATTTCAGATATACTTATGTATCTTATACGAGTATAAAAAAGAATTGGTATCAATATTCATTCCTCCAGAATTCTGCCTGACACAGAAAAAACTCTTTCACTAGTTGCTGAGCTAGCTGGTATGTTTAAAATTTGCCTTGAAATACTTCTAAGAAGTGGTAAATCTTTGGCTTTCTCCCAAAATTATAAAACATCGTCACAACTTTTGTTTTCTGATTTTTTCAAATAAATCTGTATTCCCGTATTTACTTTTTCGAATCTGTTTCTGCAGATTCATATATTTCTACCTAAGTTATCTTCAAGCACTGCCTTTACTGTTCCTATTATATGTTCGCGCTGTTCTGCAGATAAAAACTGTAACTTTTTAAACGGAGGATTTAAAACCAATCTCAGAAATTGGACTGAACGTGGTTGGAATCTTTTATTTAAAGCAACAGCTGTGTTTTTCTTCAAAAATCGATAATGACTTCAGAATCAGATGCATTCGCCTAACAATGCTTTTGTAGTTTTTTGTACCACAGATCGTACTCATGGACGGTTGGATTTAAATCCGGGCTCTTATTTTCAAAACACATCTTGAAAGGGGCCAGAAATTCTAAAAATTATAGCTTGAAAAATACTGTAAATATTAAAAACTGAACACAATTCATCCATTTTTGACCGCCACTGTACATACATATGTAAAAATTACGTAATTGACGGAAATCTAACTCACGCACACTCACGCCCGTAAAAATTTCAGTCACGCACGATCACGAATATTACGTGATTTTTCACTGAAAGCCACTCATGCTTACGCGTGAAAAAGTGTGACACGACGTGTCACGTAGAAAATCACGTATTTTGCCCATTCTAGTTTCAATACATCGAATACATACATATTTACATGCATAAGTACATTCATATACATATACCAATATAGTTTTGGTTTCATAGCTATTATAGCCACCGTCTCCATGTGACTAGAGGTGCCACGTATGATTTTTAAATTTAAATATAACAAGTATATATATATATATATATACATATTCGATGATCCATTATCAGATTAGTACGGGACCACCTCTGAGATACTACCTTTCCGATGCACAAAGAATTATCAAAATCGGTTGACGTGGTCCAAAGTTATGCGGTAACATACATAAAAAAGAATATATATATTGCGACAAACTGATAACCTCTCCTAACGGACACCTCTATTAGACGGACATCTCCCTTGGGCGGACATTTTTTCCTATACCAAGTTTTAAGTATAAATTTCGGAACAAATTACTTTCTCTTAAGCGGACACTCTCTTGGCCGGACGCGGACAGTTATTTTACATAAAATTGACACAAAAACCTCTATCGAGCGGCCGCGAACCTCTTATCAACATTAAGATTTCTTTTCATAACAAATCAATTAAAAACCTCCGTTGAGCGGATGCGAACTCCTCATAGGCGGACTACTAAATGGAAAAGGGGGACTTCCCGCATAAAATGTGATTTTTATGGACACATTTAGTTTGGTTTGGGCAGTGGATTAGGTTCGTTATTTGAATTATCAGAAACCCTTGGGAATCCATCCTTCTTTGCACGAAAAACTTGTGCGCTTAACCGAAAAAAGCACTTAAGCGAACTTTCTTTACTACTTCAATGAGGAAGGTATCCGAATACCTATGAAACCAACTAATGGAGGAGCACTTACCACGTAGAAATTACTGCAAGAAAAATTTTTTCCGAATGGTATCTAATTATCTATATAACTACATAAAATAATTGCCGTTTTCGTTGTTCTGCGAGATGAGCAAAATAAATAATAGCTTGTAAAATTAGGGTAAGTGTAGAGCCAGGTAAACGTAATACTTTCTTTGATAATTGATAATAGTTGCAAATTTTTAAGGCAGGTATCGCTAATGTGCAGGTATGTTGAATGCAAGTATCGGAGCAGTTTCCTTATAAATATTAAAAATAATGCCGCTGATGCGCATTTTGGGGTAGGTACCTTAAATGTGCACTTAAGCACAAAGGCAGCAAAGCAAAATATACTGTATAACAATAGATATAATAAATACATGGATCGAAAATTTAGATTTCTGGTTGGATTTTCTTACTGCTAAAAACATGAAAACTATTGAGGAAACAGGTACTGACACTGAAAAAAATTAAAAATAAAACTTACGTCAATCGACAATCTCCCAGTTTTTTATGTAATGAATCTATGGTTTTATGTAGTTTATAGACTGAAATATAATATTTATTTTTATTTTGTTATTACTTAATATGTACTTACGCACATAAATAAAATAAGCACTTTTGAAAAAATACATGCAAATTTTTGTTTGAACCATGTAATATCAATATCTTTTATTCAAATAAGAAATAGAAACAAAAATGTGCCTGTATTTTTTCAAAAGTGCTTATTTCATTTATGTGCGTAAGTACATATTAATTAATAACAAAATAAAAATAAATAAAATACATTTCAGTCCATAAAGTTCATAAAACCATAGATTCATCACATAAAAAACTGAGAATTTGTCGATTGACGTAAGTTTTATTTTTAATTTTTTTCAGTGTCAGTACCTTTTTCATCAATAGTAACAAAATCCAACCAGAAATCTAAATTTTCGGTCCATGTATTTATTATTATCTATTGTTATAAATTCATCAGAATTGGAATTGGATTCTCCAAGGGTTTCTGATAATTCAAATAACGAACCTAAACCACTGCGCAAACCAAACTTAATGAGTGCATAAAAATCACATTTTATGCGGGAAGTCCCCCTTTTCTATTTCGCGTCCGCTCAACGGAGGTTTTTGATTGATTTGTTTTGAAAAGAAATCTTAATTTCCGTTGATAAGAGGTCGCGTCCGCTCATTAGAGGTTTTTGTGTAACTTTTATGCAAAATAACTGTCCGCGTCCGGCCAAGAGAGTGTCCGTTTAAGAGACAGTAATCTGTTCCGAAATTTATACTTAAAACTTGGTATAGGAAAAAATGTCCGCCCAAGGGAGAGGTCCGTCTAATAGAGGTGTCCGTTAGGAGAGGTTTCCCTGTATTAATAATTACTAATGTCAGAGTTTAAAAATAATGATATGATTTTTTTATAGTTTGCTCGCCTCTCAGTGAAAAAGGGTTTGCCATACCCCCAGTTGCTGCTGTTATTTAAATTTTAGTGAATAATATCGATGTTTTAACACATCGAATAAATGAACCACGACCTCAAGTAGCACACTAGTGTATAAATTGGTGTAAATTTACGAATTTTGGTATAAATTTGATGAACTGTACCAAAATTCACAAATTTACTCCAAGTTATACACCAGTGTGCTACTTGAGACGCTAGTAAAACATCGATATATCGATAGTTTCCGATGTTTTAGAATTGCTAAATTTTAATGTAAATTTAATACTTTTAAATACCATTGGGTCTCTGTAATTCATTTGGAGAACTATGTACTTCCCAGAAACATAAAGATTTATACCCTCGTAAAGTCGCTAGGGCCTAAAGAT